ATGTAAGAGTTGGGGGTTCGAATCCACCAACAGTCATATGCCGAAGTGTCCCTGGCCAAGACACTGAACCCCTCATAGACTCTGATGTGTGTCCATCAGTGTATGAATGTGATAAAGCTCTGATTAGTCTCTTTAGAATGATTTGTTCAATTACCTTTGTAGAGATCTAGTATAGAGCTGTATGAATGGGTAAATGAGGCACAGATTGTTGTAAAGAGCTTTGAGTATCTGGATAAAATAGAAAGGTGCTGTATAAGTACAGTCCATTTACCATTTACCATTTATAATATATGTTTCCATTAGGTAAAGTTATTAAATAGCATGGGATAAATTTTCATTGTTATGCTGATGACACACAGTTATATTTGTCCATGAAACCCAATGAATCCAATCAGCTACTTAGACTACAAGCATGTCTTAAAGACATAAAAACCTGATGACCCTTAATTTTCTCCTGTTGAACAGACAAGACTGAGGTTTTAGTTTTTGGACCTGAGCACCTTAGGAATGAATGTTTCAGTCTTTCAATTCTCTGGATGGCATTAATCTGTCCTCCAGCTCTAATGTTAAAAACCTCTGTTATTTTTTATCAGGACATGTCTTTTGACCTCCATATTAAAAATTTTACCAAAACCGCTTTCCTCCACCTGCGTAATATCACTAAGATTAGAAACATCTTATCCAAAAATGATGCAGAAAAACTGGTTCATGCATCTAGGCTGGACTATGGCAATAGTTTATTATCTGGGTGTCGACAAAGTTCTTTAAATAGTTCAGTTGATCCAAAATGCTGCTGACAGAGTTTTAATAAGAGTTAGTAGGAGAGATCATATCTCTCCAATTTTAGTGTTTCTCCATTGGCTCCATGTCAAATCCAGAATAGAATTCAAAATGTTATTTTCTAACCTACAAAGCTCTCAACAACCTAGCTCCATCTTATATTACAGATCTTATTGTTCCATATTTTCCTAACAGAGCACTTCGCTCTCAGACTGCAGGTTTACTTGTGGTTCCTAGAATTTACAAAAACAGAGTGGGAGGCAGATCTTTCAGTTCTCAGGCTCCTCTCTTGTGGAACCAACTTCCAATCTCTGTCCGTGAGGCTGACACATTGTCCAGTTTTAAAACTAGGCTGAACACTTTCCTTTTTCATAAATCCTATAGTTAGGGTCGGCTTGGGTTTCCTGAGCTGTCCCTTAGTTATGCTGCTATAGGCTTAGACTGCTGGAGGACAAACTGACCATAATTTTCACTCTGCTACTGTCTTTACTTACTCTGCTCAACCTGTTTTGTATTTGTAATTATTTTTTATATCCTTAACATGTGTTTTTTTGTCTTTCAGATACACCTGGACCTATATCTGGACCTGGACCTACATCTGGACCTGGACCTATACCTGGACCTACCATTCTGTGTTCGTCTGTCTCTCCTTCCTGTCCTCTCAACCAGCCGGTCAAAGCAGATGGTCTCTTGTCCTGAGCTGGTTCTGCTGGAGGTTTCTTCCTTTTAAAAGGGAGTTTTTCTTTCCACTGTCTCCACTGTGCTTGCTCAGGATGGGAGACTGCAACGAAGACAAGATTCATCTTGTCTGCTGGATTCCTTAGATAGAGAACTTTACTAACTGGCTTTTCTATGTATGTGAATGTTCCTGTAAAGTCCCTGAGACAACTTTGTTGTGAATTTGTATTATATAAATAAACTGAATTGACCTGAATTAAATGAAGTCAGTGGCAGGCATACTGAGGATTATCTCTTGTCATTTCAAAAACGTTAAAGTTCTCAAGTAAAAAAAAACAACTCATTGGTGGGCTGGACTGAAGTCACGCTGCCAGTTGAATATCCTTGAATAGCCCTCACCTAGCATATTGTGATCTTCCAAAATGTAGCTGCATGTTGACACAGTCAGAGAATTGTGCAGTCATGACAGTATTATCATATAAATGTAAAAAGCACAGTGAAGTTGCAGGACAGCATCTCTGGGACATGTAAAATAACAGAAAAAATAATTTTGGGAGCACTGTAGAGATATACCTGCGTCCCTGAATGTCATTTTATAACATACTTTTATTTCTGGTAACCGAGTAGTTCATTCTGTAAAGATGGTTGTGAAAAAGGAAAAAAGGAAACTCCTCTCCCTTGAACAACTGAGACATTCCACCCCCGTTTCAGACCCTGGGACAGTTTAAAGTTTGTTTTCAGCATCTCTAACTCTGTTCAAAGGAATTCCAGCTTTGACACTTGGGTCCTCTTCCTGCATGCAGAAAACGGACAGACTTTTTATTCACATTCTAGAAGAATTAATACTGTTTTTCTGTAATGAAAGAATTATTTACTGGGAATAACTAAATAACTTGCCTTGTGTTCCTCCTGCAGCTGACAAGAACCTGTGTAGCCCAAAAGTTTACTAACTTGTTTTCTGCTTAACAGTGTTTGTATTGGTTTTAACCTGATTTAAAGTTGATAAGTGTCTTAAATGATTTTATTTGATGACTTTTTCAACAGAGCAGATTAAAGTAATACTGAGTGGATAAAAGTTCAGCCCTTCCATTTTGATTGGTTCAAATCGACCACCTCTTTCAAATCAGAGGTGTGGTCAGTGGTTTACAAGAGAGGAAGACCTCTCAAAAGGAGAAGATGAGATGAATAGAAGATGAATTTTGGAAGTAAAAGAGCAGAAGTAAAAGAGCAGAAGTTGAACGAGAGAAGACAGGAGGAGAAGGAATAAGCTTTTAAGACAACCTACAAAAAACAAAAAAAAAAAATCAAGAAGAAAATGAGCTTCAACTTTAGCAAAGTTTGATAGAATCCTCTTCAGCGCTCCAGACACCTGCAGTTGTCATCAAAGAGTTAACTACAGCTGTCCAGAACTCCAGGAGACGCTCCGGTTGACCATTAGAGCCAGTGACTAAACTTATCGCCTTGATGTCAGGGATGTGAAGGAATTTCCACCTTTACATCAGAGATCATCTGAGCAGAAAGAGTCCTACATCTGGTATCTTCAGGCGGCCTTCAAAGACGACTCCTGGTAGGAACAGCTGATCTGATACTCTCAAGGTTGACTCTGGTGTCCAAGAATTTAGATTTTAACCAAATTAGTATTAACTCAGTTCAGTAATTATTTTTCCTTAAATTTCAGACCAAATTTTAACTATTGAACGATAAAACGTCTTTCTTTTAGTTAAGTTTGCATGATTAATCTGCCCTGCTGAAATTTCAAAATTGTTCTACATTGCATCTTGTTCTGGTTTGGTTAAGCACACAGAATAATTTCATTTATCTGTTAATTCCTGCTAACAAGCAATTTTTACGCTCACGTTAATTTCCATAAAACTCCAGTTGTGAACAAAGCCTTCATTTAAATGTCAGAAATAATTTCCAACAGTTGTTTTATCTCATATATTCAAATAAACATCCCAAAATTGTATTAAAGCGTGTGTGTTTTACTTATGACATCTGAATCCTTCATATAAAAGGACTCACGGTGTAAAAAGGGTAATTCGAGGTAATTAAACAAGAACATCTGAATTGATTTTCAGACCTTCAGCTTTTCTCTCAGAGCTGAGAGTGGTGCCCCTTCAAAATAAAATTCATAATGAATTTTTAATCATTATTAACCCTTCCCGCTACAGCACTAAGAGTGTAGCATCAAGATTGTCTTCCATCAAACTTGCTGTGATCCAGCCATCCTCTAATAGTTGCTGAAGACTAGTTTGAGGGGAGTCTTTATAACTAGGGCTGCCTGCAGTCGACTGTACAGTAACATCAATATTTGTAGTCAACATATATTTTTATGAATTTAACTGAAATTTTCTTAAAACATTTCCACTGAATTAACAGTTGTTCTGTAAGCATCAGGTATGTACCCAGTGAGAAGAATGAGAATCAGGTACCCTATATGTAACAGGTATGTACCTGGAAGTGCTGAGTCAATACCAGGTACATACAATGTACATACCAGATAAGAACCAAGTAAGTACCTTTTGTGCCCAGATGAGTACCCTGTGAGTACAAGACAAGTATGTTGTATGTACCAGGTACATACATTGAAAGTATATGGTACATACCAAGTAAGTACCAGGTGTTGTAAGTACAAGTACATACCAGGTAAGTAAGTAGCGGTAAGTTTACCATTGTGGGCTGCATCACTGGTGACCAGAAAGCAGAATAAAAAGGTGTGGAGGACAGCTTTGTGGAATGGTGTGGACAGAACCACCTGCAGCTCAACACTGGAACAACTAAAGGGCTACAGGTGGACTACAGGAAGAAGATCAGCCCCCCCAACCCTATCAACATCAAGGGTACCAAGGTGGACACAGTGGACTGCTACAAGTACCTGGAGGTCCACCTGGACAATAAACTGGACAGCTAACACCAACACCCTCTACAAGAAAGGGCAGAGCCACCTTTTTCTTCTGAGGAGACTCAGGTCCTTTAACATCTGCAGGACCATGCTGCAGATGTTTTACCACTCGGTGGTCTCCAGCGTCTTCTTCTATGCTGTGGTGTGTTGGGGCAGCAGGGTGAAGAAAGCTGATGCCAACAGACTTGATAAACTCATGAAGAGAGCTGGTTCAGGTCTGGGAGTGGAGCTGCAGTCTCTGACAGAGGTGTCTGAGCAGAGGATGCTGAGGAACCTGCTCCAGATCCCGAACAACATGTCACCCCCCCTGCATGACACCCTGGACTCTTCCTGCAGCACCTTCAGTCGTAGACTGAGACCATCGAGGTGCTCCACAGAACAACACAGGAAGTCCTTCAAAACTTTTAACTCCTCCCCCTTTCTGCACAATAAACACTTTAATGTTTCTGTCTGCATGTGACCTGTTTAGAACTTAATGTGGGTAGTATTTTTATATTCTGTTAGTTTTATATCTTGTGATTCTTGTGTATGTTCCTTTGTCCTGAAACTCTGAAACAACAATTTCCTGTGGGATCAATAAATTTCTATCTTATCTTTACGTGACAATTCATACAGACGGTAGAAGAAAATTGTCCTGTACCTCCAGTGTGTCATTAGCAGCTCCGTCAGCCATGTTGGACGCCTCCTCGGCTTTGTTGATGTTGTCAATAATGTTGCTGTACGCTTTTGTTACGTTCACTGTTCCCTCCTTCCTGGTTTCTGAAACCAAACTGCATTTCCAGCACATCATAGGTTAACTTCCTGTAACTTGTCTTCATTCAACCATGACATGTTTGTCTGCTTCAGACTTATCACACGATTTAGATTCCTACCTGGACAAATTCATGGCTAAAATGTTCAGGTACTCAGCGTGTCTCTCTGCACCTTCCACCAAAGGGATCAGAGAGTCAGTTGAAGAAAAATTTTGTACCTTCGTTACCAAAGGTAATCTGGCTCCATCCAGAAGTGCTGCCAAATGTTCATATTCCTGAAAAATACAGACAAAAACTTTTACATATTCTCATCAACTTTTCTTCCAAACAGATACAATGAGAATAAGTATGAAACCAATTAAAACTTGAGACTGGTAGTACAGTATGAGTAATCTCTACGGCACATTTATATATCATAAAACTGTAGGAGTTCTGCCCTGCCTTCTTTCTCCCACCACCCGACACTCGATTGAACAGCACCTGCAGATCAGAGCTGCAAGCAGGAGGAGTATAAAAGGCTGCAGACAGCATTCAGTGGATGCTGGGACATTACCTACCAACCATACTTTTGTTCTAGCCAGTACCTTTGTGAGTAAAACTAAGTATTATCAACTGTCCTGATGCATGCTCAATAATCCAGGTAGAAAAATCTAAAAAAGTTAAATCTGGTCCTCTGGACATTCAAAAAACAAACAAAACAAAGCAAATCAACAAAAAAATATAGAAACGTTTCGTCTCTCATCCGAGAGACTTCTTCAGTCTGAGGCGCTGTTTTCAGCTCAGTCTCTTAAATAGCACCTTCTCAGAGTGGATCAACCAGTTTGCTGCTGACAACCAAAACCAGCTGATCACATGGTCAAGAAGGACCATCAGCCTAACAATGGATCATTATCACCTCATGGCTGTTTACTGTTCACAGAGGGCTGAGTGATACTACCTCTTACAATGCTGTGATTGCTAGTATCACTCAGCCCTCTGTGAACAGTAAACAGCCATCAGGTGCTAATGATCCATTGTTAGGCTGATGGTCCTTCTTGAGCATGTGATCAGCTGGTTCTGGTTGTCAGCAGCAAACTGGTTGATCCACTCTGAGAAGGTGCTGTTTAAGAGACTGAGCTGAATACAGCACCTCAGACTGAGGAAGTCTCTCGGATGAGAGACGAAACGTTTCTACATTTTTTTGTTGATTTGCTTTGTTTTGTTTTTTGAATGTCCAGAGGACCAGATTTAACTTTTTTAGATTTTATCAACTGTGTTTTCTCCACGTTCTCAGAGTCTAACCCTGACATCCTCATGTCCTGCAAGAAAGTCTGTGTGCCTTGAACCCTCCTGTGTCTCCTCAGCTGCTCTACGTCTTCCAACCAGTAGCATGTTTCCCTTTGGGATCCCATCTCTGACGCATTTCTTCCTTGCCTTGCCTTGGAAACCGTTGGGTCAGCTCCCCCTGTCCTGACCCCAACCTTTACCATAAGGACTACAGCTGCAAGTACTACCACCTGCTGCTGCCAGACAACTAACCCTCTCCTCTGCCCTCCAGGTTTCCAGTCCCATCTTCTGACGTTTGCCCAAATTATAATGTTGTAAATAAACACTATAAATTACATCTGAGTTCTGGTCCCTGCTCACTTTTCCTTTCATCTGGGTACACCCACACTCATAACACAAACAGAACAGATTTAATGCCAAGTTCACATGGTAGTATGTGACATTTTGCAGAGAAAACTGAATTTGAGCCTGTCAATAAACTGTCTGAGTTGAGGAAAAGTTGAGCAAATTTTGGGGCGAGGTGTCATGGAGGTGTGCATCCCCTCATGCTCTTCATGCAAGTTTCTTTAATGATTTCTTTGTTCATCATTCTTAGTACTTTTTCCTCCAATAAAAGAAATAATACCAAACGTAGGCTGATGCCCCCCCCTTCACTGAGAACTTTAAAAAGTGAAAGTTTGTAGTTTATGAGATGATTTTTTTCCAGTGTTCCTGAACTGAAATTAACGGTGGATGCAAGTTGTTGTTGTTAGTGCAAGATATTCAAGTCGGTAGGAGTTACACTGTGTAGAAGAACAGAGGTAGTTTTTTTTGCTAGTCTGAGTCAGAACAGAGTGGCAGATCCTTGCAAGTGGAGAGAGCAATTTGATCTACAACGAGGCACAACAGCGGAGCCAGGGGGTGGCCATCGGTCCCCCTTGACCACCACAGATTAATCTTCATCCACTCCACGAGCCACCCAAATCATCAACTGTACTTTTGGACAATATAAAAACTAGAAAGCACACTTTTCTCAAATGATAGAAATGGTCGGTTTACATATATTATATGGTGGTGTAGTGAACTAAGCCTCAGGTCAAAATCTGGCCCTGAGGGCCTTCCTGGGACAAGAACTGTTATTTCATTGATTTGAGTCCAGAAACACAAATTAAGTTCATCCAGAGACTTTCTAATTGTATCCTGCACTGATCAATTGAAAGAACACTCTCTTTTTTATTATCATTACTATTTTACAATATCTTGATAATCAAAAGTGTGTTTAGTTCAAACCATTTTAAATGTTGAAGTGAACTACTCACTTTAAATCAACTGTGAAACAGTATTAATGATTTTTAATCCTCATTCAAAGTAGAAATCAAGTAAATGTCTGTTACAAGAGTAATGATACATTTTTGATTTTCTGTCTGAAATGAGAAGGAGTAAGTCGGTCAAAAGTGAAGGAACGGTCAAAAACATGTTTATTGGAATGAAATGTCATGTTTATCTCTCTCAGACAGATAGAGGGAAGAATGGTGCCTAAATGTCTCTGTTCTTCAAAACATCTTTCTGTCTGTTCTTAAAACATCTTTCTATCTGTTCCTAAACATCGCATTGTTTTTCTGACTTTTAATGACCCTCTTACGTCACTAAGACCACACCCCTGTTGGTTCTTTCAACCAATCAGGAAGGTCTCAAAGGAACCGGAAGTGACCTCTTTAAAAGGGTCGACACTTCCTAGTTCCAAGCAGAACAACGGGAACTACGCAGAACAAGTTCCAGAGAAGTTTCTAATGGAGTGACGAGAGTCTGTCGATGCCACGACGTCTCGGTGTGGCTCTATCCGACGGAAGCTCTGAACAATGAGGAAGTCTGTTCAGTGATGATCTCACGACTCCTGAGGTCTCTGCTATTCTTACGGAGACGCTGAAAGGTGGTTTGAAGTGGAACTTTATGCCGGAACTGAAATATCTTCAGAAAGGTAAAGAGTCGATCTTCAACTGCGAAGTGTACCGTGGGTTAAGCTGGGTCCAAAGGAGCGTGTCGTTCTGGTTATAATAGACATATTCCCTCACCCATCTCTCTCCATTTAAACCTCCTTTCCCATCTTTAAACTCTTCTATCTGCCAGTAAATCATCCAGATATTTTCAGAAATGTCTGTTGTAATTAGTTGCAGGTGAGATACCATGGCCGTATGGTTCTCATTGTAAAGCTCATTAATTAAATGTGTTATTGTAATCAATCTGCCAATTATTGTAAATGTGTGATGTGTTTAAATCGTTTTTAAATAAATGACCCACTGTTGTTGGTGAGTCAAAGATAAAAACACGTTTCCGTCCACATTCAATATTCAAAACACGATATTACCCAGTCCAGAAAAATGAAAGAATCCGTTTAAATTATGAATAATATCAGAGACAGATATAGTTCATTACAGTGGCGTCCATCTTGGATTTTTATATTGAACCTGTTTTACGTCTAGATTCAGTCATACAGCAAAACAGAAGCACGTTGCTCATTTTTCAAGTTATCCAGCTCACAAGGATTAAATATATAAATAGAAGGCGGCAGCGGATGGAACACTTATTGAAGTGTAACTGCACAATACACGCACACACACACACACACACACATACATACATATACACATGTACATATACATATATATGTTTTTCAGTCAACATTTATCTATACAGATAAATCACATTAAGCCTCGAAGAGTCATTTACAAAAGTATATATGTATGTATATATGTATGTAT